GATTTTGTTTGTATTCTGCTCTTATCTGTTAAGCATTAATGTTCTGTAGGTTAAGTTTTGGAAAGAATAAAGAATAAGTGTAAGATACGCAGTAACTTCTTTCCAATGATTTTAGGAGCCTAATGAACAATGGTGCAGATTTGTTTGAATATGAATGTGCAGTAGGATGGAGTTTGACCTTCAGCTGTGATTTCAGTTCGTCAGGATTAGTCAAGCTAGGCGATCAAGACTGCTAATGCATAATGATTTATAAAATGAAAAATGTGTAGTGACCATGCAAATGTTTCAGCTAATCAAAGAGGGGAACTTTAGCTTTGAGAAGAAAGAAAAACAAGGGCATGTCAAGGCCTAAACCAAAGATGTATGTAAAATAATCTGAGCAGCTTGATTAGCCAGAGTGAGATTAGAAGTTGCATTTTTGGCTTTTAAGCATATGGTGTAGCATATTATATATCACCTCTCCATAATCTCTACAACAACGTGCCTTTATGAACAGCCTGGTTTTCACCAATATTACAAAGAAAACACTGTAATTTCTTCTGAAATATTAGTATGTAACCAAGAGAAGGATAAAGTTGGACAAACTGCTTCTTAAAACAGAAATACTTTTGATTTACCAAAGTAATTAAATGAATATTAAAACTAGCATCTTGAAGTAATAGTAGAAACTAAGTAGTGATGAATCATGATTTTTAAAAAAATGTCTATTATTGCACTGTGCTGTTCTTTCTGTTGTTCCTGTCACGCTATTTCCCTGCTGCTAAAAGATTACATTAAATAGCAATATGCACTGTCCATCCCAGATCTCCTTAAATACCCTGTTCAGTACCTGATGAAAAGCTTACAAATACCACTCAATTCATTGTCAGTTCTTTTAATACTATAAAACCAGGAAACTTTTGAAAGCCTATTGTTATGACAGACATTATATATATAACCAAGGCTTGATTTTAGACCATGGCAGTTCCATACAGTAGTTTCTTATGTCAAAATAAACTATAAACATAGATATTTTAGATAGGAAAGAAGTGAACAGAAGAAATTTATCAAGAATGTACAATCAAAATTTTCCCATTAATAGTCTGTTAAAATGGGAGAAGATGCTGTAACATGAAAACCAATTTTACATTTATTACACCAGTAGTTAATTCTAATAATGACACTTTTTGTAAATACGAAGGCAAAGAAGTCAGGACTTCCTTTGTCTTCCAATTTTAAGCAAAAAATAGAAGAATTTGTGAACCAGTAGTTGGCAGACCCTGTTAACAAGAAAATATTGTTTTTTTACTGTAAAGCTCATCTATAGGTTGTGATTGCTTTTTTCAGTTCACATTTAGTGAAGAAAGAATTGGACTGACACTATGCTAAGAACGTTTCCAATCACCCACACATAATTGGAATGTTTAATTAGGTGACAACTTAATATGTAAACCCAACCGTTCAGAAATGCTCCAATTGAACTAGATTGTAAAAAGGGAGTGTGTTTATGTCAAACAAAAATTTTGGTCCCTTTTAATAACTCCCACAATAACTCTTTAGCTTCATTTGAGCAGAGGCATGATCTTTGCATTGTCTCCTAATAACTTTTTTGACCCCTTCAATGAGGTACACTTAGAATTTTAACATAAACACACATAATATTTTTTTAAAAAAACCTAAGTCACCACTTACCCATTCTAGTAGAATACCTAAATATTTTTCACTTTTACCACTGACTCATTTCAAGACAATTTCAGAATTTTTCCTCTCTCATTTCAGAATACATAATCCTGTCTTTATGTCCAATTTACCAGTACTTCTTGGTGCACAGAGCAGCACATGAAGTTTGTGCTTAATTCATCCAATGAAAAAATAAATAAGGGTAAATGGAAATCCCTGTTTGGGCCACCACTGTGGGGGAATTTTAGATCTGTCAGTATAGTAACTAACAAGAGAGAAAAAAAGAGAAATCTCCCAACCAAAATTGACAACATTTCCTTCCTTTACCCTTAAATATTTTAACTGATAAACACTCATTGAAAACTAGCTATTCCTTCTGATTTCATTTGGCGGTAAAGCCACTAGACTTTTATTTGCCTTTTCAAAAGAAAATATCTGAAGTAAGTTCTCCCTCTCCTCCATAGCACGTCTAAACTGTGATCCCTTATTAGAATATTTGCATGAATCAACTTATATATCTAGTGGAAAATATTTCCTTAACACTGAACTGGCTAAGGTGTGTGTATTTCAGAAAGTTATCCACAGACTTTTAGAAATCTGATGCTGATTTGTCTGTTTCTATATTGATAAGTAGTGTAATGTCTCAATTTTTATATGTATACAGTTAATCTTTATTCATTTCTATCAATGAATTTCTAGAGTAGCTTGTGGTAGCAAAGAAATGCGATGGAACAGTAACAAAAGTGATGAAGGAGGAATGAAGAAAATGTGTCATTTAAAATGAGTCACATTTTAATTTTAACTTTGTACATATAGAAGTATTCAATTAGTTGTGTGTTAGTTAGCTTGTCTTTCTACATATTTTTATGTCTGTATATTGTCAGTTTTAGATGGCAGTTTCCTGGAGGGAAGACCAGAACTGCTCAAAATTTGTAAAACATCACATACATATGAACATTTAATATAACATGTGAACATTGTCATTTAGGATGGCAATGATGTGATGGTTATATTTATATCATAACTATTAATTGTAAGTCACTCAAACCATTTTAAGAGTAAAAATATTCATCTAAACTATATAGTGAAAGAAGTAGTGAATTCTAAAAATGGAAGGTAGAAAACTTGCTTCAATTTGCTCATACACAAAATTAGTCACAATAACAACCAACTATAGAGTTATATTATATGTATAGGCTGAAATCTGACTGTACTCTTGTAGCAGACTATGTCATGCCTCCATTCATAGAAATTTCTTTACAAAGTTCATTTGTTACCATTATATATAAAGTACTTTTACTTGTAGACATAGGGATAATTAAGTGAAAACATTCTATATCCTGAAGAGTAACAAAGGGCTGTTAGGTGAAAGAAGTGTGGCAAGCTTCCTACCACATGACCGAATTTATAGAAGGTATATATTTCTATGTATATATCTGTATACATATTTGTAATCTTATCAACTCTGTATCTGTCTTCTCTATCTCTATCTGTCCATCTATCTATTTATCTGTCTGGATTGACAGCCTTTTTAAAGTTTGACATGTCTGTCTTTCTCTGTCCCTTCATTTCGGTTTGATTCCTTGCTATTTGGAGATATTTAATAGTATGAGTTAAATGATTTTGGAAGACAAGGCATTTTTGTAGAAAGGTAAATTTTTTTCCAAACTGCATCTAACCAGTCTATTTGTTTATTAAAGAATAAGCAGTTAAGTAAACTGACAATCAATTTTTTAAACAACCAAGCACTTGGGCAATCCACTGGGTCAATTAATTTTACAGTATACATTTCAGAATGCTTTTTTTAATGATAAATTCAAATGAAGCAGCCTATAGCTATGACAGTATGTTTTAAAAAAAAAAATCCAGAAAT